TTATTATTAATTATTAATTATTTCTTATTTTATGATAAAAAAATCCTTTTATTTAATTTATAAATATTTTCAGTCTCATCTTCTTCACCGACTTAACAAAAATTGTTGAGATGCCCACCCACTCCAAGTCTCCAAGTGGGTTTCATTGCTTTCTGTAGTACCATTTGTTTTTGGGGTTTTTTATCATGTGATAAATGCTTTTTTTTTTTTTTTTTTGACCAAAGTGACAAGGGTGGATTCAAACTTCGAACCCACTAAGAAAGAGGAGATTGTACCTTCAACGTAACCCGAATGTCACTTGACCCGAAAGGCTAAGTGCATGTGATAAATGCATTTATTATATTTTTTATTATAAATATACATAATATAAAAATTGATATTAATTTTAATATCAGGTGATTTAATTAAATAATTAATAAATTAATAATTAAATTTTATTTTTTTAATATAAATTTATAATAAAAATATATCTTTAATATATCTTTAATTTGTATCCTAAAAATATAAATTAATCAAATCTTTTATTTTTAACGTCCTCTCATTTTTTTTCATTTATTTTTAACAGGAGAAATGGTGGTACTGCTACTATTATTTTAAGGCATGATTATATTACTACTATTTAATTTATTAATCAAATATTTGGTAATGCATAAAGACACTTATGTATCCCACCTTCCGTACATGACACGTGGCCCACAATTTCAATTTTGATATGGTGGTGGGCCCACCAAAACTAATCTCCTTCCCCCCACCCCCAACAAAGCAGCCTAACTTTTTCTCATTGCGACCTGTATTTTTTGCTTTCATACCATAATAATAATGCTAATCTTTACTTTAGATTTTGGGTTATGTGTAGTACAAACGCATGTGCCAGCCAAATTGAGTTTAATGTCCTTGATCATTTTGGAACCATACTTTTCTAATCTTATTAATTGAGGAAAAAATTTTCAAATTTAGTTATCATTGACCTCTCGTCTCATTCTGAATTTCTTTCATTTTTTTTTTTTTTTTGCCCAAGAGAAGAAAATTATTTTGATTTTAGATTAAATAATATAAAATAACTTTTTCTCATTTTATTGTCTTTTTTTTTTTTTACTTAGGGGAATTATTCATAATAAAAGGAATAGTACTTGTAAATAGATTTCAAGACTTTCACATTCAGACACGTTTCCACAAAGAAGATGATCACTAAATTACATAGTGTCGTATTTTCTCATTTTATTGTCTATTTATTATATATTATACAATTTAAATTAAAAACTATCATTTTTAGTGGTGGGAGAGTGAGAAAAAGTGACTAAGAGCCAAACTACTCCCACTATATTTATCAGAGAAAGGTCTAGCTCTCTTCTTCCGGCTCTTTTTTTTAGAGATTACCGCTAGACATTTAGAGATTATTTGGTTTGAGAAAAATAAAAGAGTAAATTTTGTTTAATTAAATTAAAACACTAGGCTAGTATGTTAATTTGATTGGATGAATGATGTTCCTTCCCTTGCTCTTTTCACAAACCAAACTTACCCTTAAGCAGTTCGTTTCAAAAAAAAAAAAAATACCCTTACCCTTAAGCAGTCGTTATGAATTTCTTGGTTTTGTTGTGAATAATCTTCTGCTTTTGATGGGACAAAAATTTGGACAATCCAATTAAATGGGTGTTTTTCTTTGTGTCAAATGATGGTGGCAGGCGAGGATGGTCCATCAAAAGGAGCATTATCTTTACTTTTTGTGTGCAAAGGGTTAAGATAGGTACAACCCAGGTCCTTGTGCTAGGTCATTATCTGTTTGTTTGCTTTCCACCTTTTCTTTTCCTTGGAGACAAGGATGGTTTCTCAAAAGGAAAAACAAAAGGCAGACCGTAAAGAGTAAAGACAAGAATCAAAAAGCAAAGGGCTACCATTTTTTTTAGCAAAATAGGCGCCCTCAACACAAACTCCCCCACATAACTCCATTGATTTGCTTCTCTTACGCTGAGCAGAAACAAACACTCAAATTAGAGTCTAAAGAAAGGGGCAAAATTTTTCCACTTATCCCAACTTGAAACCTAAATGACTTGTCTTTAATCGAACTAGTTTACATCAAAAACATGTTTTCCCATGTGCCAAAAAAGAAGGGAAAAAGAGAAATTAGGGTCTTGGTCCACTTCCCGCTCTTAGAAATGGATAGACAAGAAAGAAAGGCAAAACCAAGCTTTGAATCACATCACTTGCACAATTTGCATAGTCAGATCCCACTTTGATGATAAGTTTGCTTTTACCATCCTGCCACAGAGAATGCCAACAAAGAAGAGGAGATAGATTTTCCTCCCTAATAATAAGAGAGAGATTGAAGAAGAAAATAGGTGGAGCAAGCTGCTTTATAACGCAACACCCAGGGTTGTGACAAATCATCTCATTAAAAAGGTCCCACAAACCAACCATGGCAAAGTAATCTACAAAATACAAGTCAACACCACAGGGAAAGTATTTTGCTTCAAACATTGTAGCCCCAGATCATATAAAATCTTAAGAATACTGTGCTTGATATAACTTCAAAATAATTAATTCAACAAAAGGACGGGAGAAAATGATCAGGACCATCCACCACCATCCAAGCGAAGGGAGGTGGGTGGGGGTCCCATAACGTGTACTTGTTTGTGCAACACTTTCCTCACATAATTAATGGGGCTTCTTCCTCCTTACCCCATCAATCATCCCACATTCTGGAAAAATTGAAACAAAGCAAAGAGCAGTGCTTCATTAAAGTATATGGTCCATGCATATGCATATGCATATCTGGCATTTATTTCTCATCTCACATTGCTAACAATAACAATAATAAATTCAACAGTCAGGTGCTACAACACATCTAGGAAAAATAACAAATGCTGAGAAAGACACAGATGTGTAAGTTCTGGCCTTCCCGGCATTTTTAGTCTCACCAGCTAAGTTTAACCAACTAGCAATTTAAAGCAAAATGAACAAAAAAAGAAACTGGTTAAAGAGATAAAACTTCCTTTTCGATTTTTAATCTTTGCTTTCCACCCATCTCAATCTCTATAGAATCATCTTGAGCCTAGTGTCAATGGATAAGGCAATTTGTTCGAAGAAAAAACAGATATGTGACCTTTATCCATATAGTTCAATAACCCTCCCTCCTCTTCTCACTACCTTTGTTTACCATGAAATGAATATGAAAACAAACAAGTGATGTAAAATGTAAATGCATGCCGCTACAAGCCTACAACACTATCCAATGATTCAATAACTTACAGAGACAACCATCTTCTGCATTAGTCCAGTTCCTCTTTATAAGAGCTTGAAAAATAGTAACTGTTGTCCTCCGTGGAGCTTCTGCTATTAATGTGACTTGCAGCAACAGGTCATGCCCAAGCAGCAGGTATAACTGGACTTTGCTTGATAGAAAGCAATGGAAAGGACCTTCTTGCGGGCATTTAAAAGATATCCGCTTTATCCATTTTCTCTGTGGAACAGCTTAGACTTGTGAAATATCCATTGAAAAGATCATGAGAGACAACTTCCTCCACCACAGATACCTACATGATTGTAACAAAATCTGGTGCATCCTCCCTTGGCATTTCAACAGACCTGTACATGTACATGGACAATTTTTCAGCAACGTCATCCATCTCCATATCCTCCCAGTTTGACCCTATAAGTTCAACCACCAGGTGAGGCATTTCTCGAGCAACCCGCTGGCAACCTTGACGGGTTAATCTACATGATGACATCCAAAGGAACCTCATGTTGTAGTACTGATGCAAACCAGAAAGCAGAGCCACATCTCCAAATGGGCTATCTCTTATCTCGAGCTTCTGCAATCGAGGACATCCCTCGAGCACATATTTCAGTCCCATGTCACTGTTTCCAGCAAAAGCAACTGACAGTGTGCGTACCAATTTGCCATACTTTCCAATGTAACTGAAAGCTTTATCAGTCAGCAAACCAGACACTGCAAGACGAGTGAGCTTCTTGCAGTTCTTAACAATGGCTCCAAATCCTTCATCCATAGGATCTCCAGTAACATGATCAGGCCTGTGGCGCTCCATTATGCATAGACGGAATACCACAAGATCAGGGCAGTTCTTAGACATGGCTTTCACAGCTGCATTTGTCATCCTCTGGCAGAAGTATAAAATAGATTGCAATTTCGGACAACCTTCAGAAATTGCTTGCAGGCCCACTTCAGAAACAGGACCCTCACTGTCTTCCCGAGCATCAATAGGGAAAACCCGAAGCTCACGGAGCTCCTTGCATGTTGCAGCTACTGCTTGAAGACCTTCATCACATATTGAATCAAGAACCTGCATAACAAATACCAAAATGAGTAATCCCCAAACTGCTTCACACAGCTTATAAACCAACACACATGGAGCACATACCCAAAAGATCTGGAGATTGTGGCAGTGTCTTATGATTGGCCTGAGCTGTTCTGTGTTGATGTTAGCATAGCTAAAATTCAGAGAAGTTAGATTTGCACAAACTGGGTAGATAGCTGGCAAGTAATCTGGAACTATTTCCCTAAACCCAGAGAGACAAACTAAGGATTTGCAAGCAGTAAATGCGGATGCATAATCTAGCTCTGGTTCTTGGTCGCCCTGTGGCACCAAATCTGACAGACTGAATGAGCCTGTCCCAAGGTGAGTAAGCTGTGGACCTCGAATCTTCAGCAGCCGGAATAGCTGCCCAATGGAAACATGTCGGTTCAGCCTAAGCCTTTTCATTGAAGGCGAATTTGCAACCAACCTCTCCAATGCCTGAAAATTAATCAGGCATTCAACACAATCAAATATCAATGACTCGAGACATGATTCCCCCTCGGGAAAATGCGATATCCAATCCATTTCATCGTCCGCAACCTCAGATTCGATCAGATCAAGCACCCTAAGCTGTCTGAAAATACAAAAGTAGACCAATCAACATCCATAAAAGTTCCCACAAACTTTACAATTTCAAGCATGCCATTTATTATTACACATTATTATACAAACTAGAACTATTTCATCGTGTTTTGGTAAATAAACTCAATACACAGATGACAGAACTCACCCCAAAACAAATAACAGATCTAAACATTCAAAGACACAGATCTAATCAGACATTGTTTAAGATATAGCCCAAAAACTCCATATTCTTATCACCAACAAGAATTAACATCAACATACCTGCACAAGCTAACAAAGGCAGCAAGCCCCTTGGTCCCAAACCCTTCACAGCAAACCAGCACAAGCTCCTTAAACCCCGGAAGAGACTTAGCCAGATTTTCAAGATCAACATCCGTCACTGACATACGCTTCAGATGGACCTTCTCCAGACAGGAGTAAGCTTTAGCCATGGACGCAACCCACGGTGAAAAGTGAGCTCCCCAACCTTGTGGCAACAGGTTAAAATCCGCAAACCTGGGCTTCCCCTTGAGCACCAGGGATCGGACTTTCGTGAACCGGGCACTAGCCCTGGCCGGCGACACCGCGTAGCAGTTTCCGATGAATAGCTCGGATCGCGTGACTGCCTCCACCCGGTACCAAGACTTGCACACCAATGAGGCGGCGTTGCGGTCCTGCCGCGAGGTCAGGAACTGGAGCACGTTATCTAAAACATTATCCAGAACCTGGTCCAGGTACGGAGCCTGAGACTCCGGAACCCCCGACCCGGACCCTGACCCGGAACCAACAGTGGAATAGTTCCGCGCCTCGCTGGAAGTGAATTCCAGATCCGACGGCGGGGATCGGTGGTCGTCTTCATCCTCGGACATTTGGTCGGCGCGGTCGTGATGCATGAGAGAGAGAGAGAGAAACTTCCCTCCCCTACCCTTCCACGCTCCGCCTCTGATCCGATGAACCCTTTTTCAAGCTTTCAACTTTCTGATCGATGAGATTGAGATTTTCCGATCCAAAATCATGGGTAGGGGAAAACAAGCTGAAAATTGTCGAGGGTTTTTGTTTGTTTGGGGAGAGAGAGAGAATGAAGGTATGGAATGGTGGGAGGGGAAGATTGGATTGTAGTGTGGGAGAGAGAAGGGAGATAAGCTTAGTTTAATTGGATACAAGGGGGGAGTGAACACTGGGCAGTGGTGGTGGCTGTCTCTCTGAGCATTGGGATTCTCATCTCCATTTTTACACCTGCAATATCCAATGGCTCACACCACACTCCACCTCCATTATTTGAGGGCTTTTCTTTTTCTTTTTACCAGTTTTTACTATATTTTTTACCCTTTTTCCATTTCATAGTAGAGCTAGATTTATAGATTAAATTACACTAAAATATAAAATAAAGATTATTAGTTAAACACTTTTTTTTATATATTTTTTATTATTAATATTAACAGATTTAATTTATATTTAATAATTAATATAATATAATATAATACAATTTAAATTGCATTATAATTTTTTTCCATTGTTATTTTTCTTTTTCCCCTCTCTTAATTTGTTTAATTTGACTATTTTCAATTTTTTCTCTCCTCTTGTTCTTTTCTCTCAAATCAACTAAATTTTTATCTTTCCAACTGAACAAAAGTTTATTCTTTTACGGGAATTTCCATATTAACTGTATAAAAATCAATTGAGGGAGAACTCATTAGTTCTTAATTCTTCTACTCGTGCTTTCTTAAATTTAAATAATTTTAAAGTTGACCAAACATTTTTATTGGCCTTTTGGTTTAATAGTAATAAATTTGTATCTTTTTTTAAAAGGTTAGAACATTTTTGGGTTAGTTTGAGTGTATGTTGACCAATTTTACTCCAATAATCTTAAGAAGAGTGCATTCTCTATATCCAACTTAATATATTCATAAAATCAAATTAAATATTAAACTCAAAACTTAGATTCTATATCTTGTTATAAAATTTATTTATTTATTAATAAATTTAACTTTTAAAATGAATAATATTGCTGTGCAAGATTTGGAGAAAGATTCTTTACGAAAAACAAATGGAAGGAGTTTCAAGAGTAAAAAGTTACTAGCAAAAAGAAGTGGAATAAAAATCTATTGGGAAAACAATAGGGCATATTCTCTAATAGACTGAAAATTAAGGACCAATTTTGCAAGAATTCATTGCTTTTTTTTTTTTTAGGTGCAAAAAAATTCGTGGGAGTTATCCCAGTATTCCACATTTCTACGCACGTCAAACGAAAGTAAGAGCACGCCTAATGGAAAACAGAACACCACCGGAGCTGTTTTACTTATTGGAAAAAATTTTGTTCTCTTTAAATCTTATAAATAAAAAATAAATATTAATTTTTTTTAAATGTGATTTGATACGATTTAATTTTAAATTAATGAAATATAATATAATTTTTGAACATCAAAAAAATTAATAAAAAAAAAGAGATTACCGCCGTTAGTTTTTTTTCTTTTCTTTTCTTGTCTTTTTTTGGTTTTGTGAGAGAGATATACAGCCGTTAGTTACTAAGGTTAAGGCACCAACGAAGGATTGGATCAAATGATAAGTGAATTATTTTAACTTAAATTAAGTTTTGAATTTGAGATCTTATATACACAGTAACTTTTGTTAAAAGACTCACCCACTATTTTTAGGTGTGTGATGCGGTAAGATCCAAATTAGTTTGGACAAAGCTCTTAATACTGAACGAGAAACGAAAAAAAAAAAAACTAAGACCTGAGGCGCGAAGTGGGGTTCAGACAAAGGCTGACACATCTTACTTGGCAGTCACATTCTACTTCCACGCGCCAACAAAATTACAGTAATTTTTTTACAAAGTAGTTGACGCTTCCTAATTAATTAAAAGAATAACACGTGATTACTTTTTTTTTAAATAATTATTTTTTAATTTTGTTTTATATTAAGATTTTATGAATTATATTTGTTAATACTCTTAAAAAAATTAAAATATACTTTTTTGTCTTAAAATAATTATTTTAAACACTAAAAATATATTAAAAAAGAAATAATATTTTATATTTAAAAAAAAAAAAAATATTTTTCACAAAAATTGTGATAATATCTTCACATTAAAAAAAAACATAAAAATAAAAAAATTTATCTTTATCTTTTATTTCTTTTTAGGGGTATTATAGATAAATAAAAATATTATTCTCAAATCTTTAATTTGGGAAAAAGTCAAAAAACCATACTTATTTGGGAGGAGTGAGAGTGAAGAAAGACTTTATTATTGGATGATTAATTAAAATGAATGAATAATGATAAAATTAAAGTATAAAAAAATATTTGTCTTATTTTAAAAATAAAAAATAACAATTAATTTGAGATAAATTCACAATAAAAAAATAAAAGTTATTTTGAGAGTAGAGTAAGTCTATACAATAAATCATTGAGTGAATCTATTTGCTTTTACTGTATAAAAATATTATATTTATAATATCATGTGATATTATAAATTTATAATATGATGTATCATTATATAATAGATTTTTTTTATTTAAAATCTAATTGTAATATTATATGCATCTATTTATGTAATGTTATAACTATTTAATGTCAAGTTATAATTATTAACTTATAATCTTATATAATATCACTAAAAGTATGACTTAAAGGTGTATTCATACATATTTTATTATTAATATATATATAATTTAAGGTATAATGATAGTAGAAATAAAGCAAGAGAGAGAGAAAGAAAAAAACAATTTTATGCCTACTATAATTCATTTGAGTCAAATTTTTAATAAAAAAAACAGCTACTATTGTAATGAAACGGAGAGAGTACCAACCTACTCCAGACCATCAAAGGAAAGAATGGAAAGAAGAATCACATCTTAAAGCCTAGTGTTTCAGTTGAAAAATACTACGAGTAGTAATTAACATCATGTTTGTTTTTGCAAGTTTAACTCCCAAGTTCCAATAAGCTGCACTAGGAGTTCTGAATTTACGCTTTTCTTTTGTTAAATTTTGACATCTTAATTAACTCTTCGGCTACAATTTGTTTCATCCTCAAATAAATAAATAAATAAATAAATATTTAAGGTGGTCTTGGATTAATTTTTGTCTTTTTTTTATGGTCATGAAGATTATATTATCCCTTTAATGATCTATAAAAGAGAAAGAATATTTTAATAAGATATTGCCTACCCTAGTTATCTTAAGATTTAATTAATTATTTTTTTAATATTTCATTGATTAAAGTACCTTTCAACGGCTGCTGAGTGTTTTTTTTTTTTTTTTTTTGAAAAAATAGATGGTCTTTGGCTTC